TGGCTACAAAAACAATGGTGAATGGACCCTTGGAAGGCAAGGTGTGGTCAAGTTAAATGCCTGTTAGACCCTAATCTAGGAGCTCCTAGAATTGGCTGCTTATTATACCAATTTGGGAAGCAGCTCTTGGCACATTACTAGACCTTACTAGCTTCTGAACAGATCATGCAAAGTCATACTATCACCCTTCATCCAGGGGTCCCATTATGAGGTGGATTATGCAAGACAGTTGAACAAGATGAGTAGGACATAAGAAACTTCTAAAAGGGTGTGGCCCCCTCCCCAAACCATTTTGAGGCCCCCCCCCCCATCACCTGAGAAAGCCCTAAAGCCTGGATTGGCCTATCAGGACAGACATTTTGGTCCACTCTGAATTTAATATACCATAATGCTTTGCATGCTCTGGCACAACAGACATGCTTTGCTTTGCTCTCTGAGTGAACCCAAAATGCCCTTTCCTGTGTCAGCAACTGCAAGGTCAGATGAAGCTGACCAGGAGCATTCTTCTGTTTATGACTGTCCAGGGCAGGATACCTTGAACCAGCCACTATCTTGAATAATGGGACTTTTCTTATCTTTCTTATCATATTCTATAGACACATGTTATGTTACATTATATCATGTTAATGATAGAAGAAACCCAGACATCCTGGGTCTATAATTTCAATTGACACTTTGACATTCTCCTATCTTATTGTATTTACAATCTATCCACTTAAGAAATTCCTTTCTCATATTGTGGTTAACACATATGGAGACTATAATTTTGGCTGACATAGGCATTGTGAGTCAGGAAGGGAGGGAGGAGTGAGGGGGAATTGCCGTGAAAATACAAAATCTCCTTTTGTCTGTCCATCTTTGGGTTCATTTTCTACAATGAGCTCCCATGCATATCTCTATATACATGTTCTGCAAGCTTTGAGAGAAATAAACACTCACATGCAACCTAATTCTGTTCTTCTTTCTTAGAACAAACTCAGTAATGGTTGACAAGGGAAATGAACACATTCACCATTGTGCCCCTCAGGCTCTTTGTTTGTTTGTTTGTTTGTTTTTGTTTTTGGCTAGGCAATGGGGTTATGGACTTGTCCAGGGTCACATAGCTAGTAAGTGTTATGTGTCTTAGGCCTGATTTGAACTCACCTCCTCCTGAACCCAGGCCTGTGCTCAATCCACTGCACCACCTAACTGCCCTTAGGCTTTTCAGAAACAGACTGTGACTTTGGTGGAGGCTTAGACCTCCAATGGTAGCTTTATGTTTTACCCCTTCTAGTAACCCAGTGGTCACCTGCTAGGAAGACTTGGTTCTGTGGAACACCATTTGCCCTGTTCACAGATGACTCTGCCCAGTATAAGAGATGCATGTACAAGGAGACTTCACTGGCCCTTAATCTCATAACAAGCGACATCCTGAGAAAAAGGGATCCTGGCAACCCTCCCATAAGGACTTTGAGGGATGGGACAGAAAAGAAAAGATAGTGATTCTAGGATGGTGACCAGGGGTCTGGCTGAGTGATCTGGGGTTGGAGACACTGTAGAGAAAGAAATAGCAAGATTTGGAAACAGAATGTATATGTGGCATGAGGATAGAGAAGTGGAGTCACAAGTGTTGTCCCTTTGTTATATGCCCATTTGTTTGCTGAAAGGGACAGAAAAAGAACATTTGTATAAGGTATAGTGATAAAATCAGCTGAAGAACAAACAAAGCTCCTCCAGCCCGTGGGATAAGTGCTAGAGGGAAGACGCAAGACTGTTCCACTTGGGAGAAAACTTCTCCTTGTGCTTGGTGGTCAGTTAGCTGTTTGCAAATTATTCTTTCAAGAGTTTAAGAGAAGTCTATATGGATTGTTGAGGTCATATCTGACAGTTACTGGATTTTTTGTTTCATGTTGAGAGGGGTTACTGCTCATGAGGAGACTCTGGTTTAAGGCAGGAGAAGCCAGATTGAGGAGGGTAAGAGATGGCCTAAGGAAGACAGAAGTGAGAGAGAAAGATGAACAGGGGAGGAATAGACACAAAATACACAGAGTGTTAGAAGCTAAACTGACGGGAAGGCCCTGCAACTGATTTTCTGGGATGATATAGAAATGTTGCGTTGCTGAGAGCTGATCACCTGGAAAAGTTCTGAGTCATTTAAGAGTCGACTGAAGCAAGACAGGCCCTGCAGTTGCTAGAATCTGATTAAAAAAGAGCTGCTGCTGCTCTGTGTACAGTTAACTGGACTTCTTGCCCTCTACAACCATCTATAGCCCAAGAGAAAGGAAACCTCTCTAGGGTGCCAGTGTTGTCTTTATTTCCCTCTATAGCCTAAGGCAGAGGGTAAAAGCAGCTTTTGCCATTGTTTTGAGCTATGCTTACTAGCTCTGTGATCCAGGGCAAGTCATTTAACTTGTTAGCCTCAGTTTTCTCATATGTGAAAATGGGGGATGATAGCACTTCCCAGGGCTGTTGTAAGAATCGAGATAATTTTCATAAAGCATTTGGTAAAACTTAACATACTATATACATGCTAGCAATGATTTTTTCTTCTAAAAATTTAGAACACTTTCTCAGCACTCTCAAAGGTAGCTATGTGCCAAAACAATCTTGACTGCATTCCATCAGATGTAAAATAGAGAAACTGCTTTGCTTGGTGGAAGGGCTGCGAGAACCAGAAGGGCAGCAGATAGCAGGTGATGGGGAACCAGATTGTTCTCTTAAAAAATCCAAAGACATAGTTGTGAGTTACCCTCTAGAGTTGTGACTTATGTAGATTTGTGTATTTGTGGGACTCCCTGCTATGTCAGTGTGCTCTCTCTTCTCTACAGTCACCAAATGACTTAGTGGGAAACTGTGATCCAGGTTTATGGGTAGGCTGTCTTCTACTGAGTAAATGTTATCATTCCTGAGTTTGACTTCTCTCTTGCTCTTCTGTGCATTTGTAGAATCCATCCTCCGTGACAAGAATGTTCTCTCTTCACCTCTGCCTTTCAGAATCCTTTCTCTTCCTTCAAGGTTCAGCTCGCATGTACCTTCTCTACAATCCTTCCCTTGATGGATTACATCAAGCTCAAAGTGCTCTCTACCTCCCAAAATTCTCTAGTCAAATTCTGGACCTCTTCTTTACCCACATCTGTGTTTTGTATTCTTTTTACACATAGATGATAATATTTGTGATTAGAGACATTCTCATATGTGATCTTCATAAGAAACCTGACAGGTGGTGTAAAAATTACTAATCTTGGTAGTAGAAGGAGGAAACTAAAGCACACAGTGAAATGACTTTCCTGAGGTCTCATAGAGAATAGGCCAGAATGTTACCTCAATGATCTGTACTCACGTTATCAGCCATTCTTCCCCAACTCCTTTGTAAAAGTTAAGTCTGTGGAAGGCAGGTACTACATCAACAAAACCTTGGAAATAGGATGTTGGACTTTGAGAAAGGAAGGACCTGGGTTCAATTCCTACCTCTGACACTTATTTAATAAGTGGCCATGGGCAAGTCGTTTCACCTTTGGGAGCTTTACTGTCTTCATCTATAAAATGGAGAAAATAATACCTTAAATCCCTAACTCAACAGGATTATTGTGAGGCTCAAATTAGATAATGTATATGAACCACTTAATAAATTTTTACAGAGCTCTGTCAATCTTTATAAAAATCCTTTTATCTGCAGAGTCCCAAGTTCAGCACTTAGTGTCCTAAGCCTCCAATCTTACCTAGCAGGTTGGCCTCAAGCAGCAATCGCTTAATCAATATTTGCTGAAGGAGTGAGGGAATGACTGAATAAATTCTATACTGGTAGCAGGATGAGGCCAACACACTTCAAATTTCCTCCCATTTTTGACTTTTGCTAATACATCTACATAGACTTTAAAATTTAGCCAGTTCTTCAGGACTGCCCAGTTCAAATAAAATCATCATTTGGGGAAAACAGAAATGGGATTGCACTCTTCTGACCTAAGATGCCATTGTCTTAGAGGCCCCAGAACGGGGTACTGGGAAGTACTCTGAATGAGAGTAATTGGGAGACAAATGCAAACTATGGTAAAGTCTCTAATGCGGGGGCGGGGGGGCGGGGAGCAGCTAGAATAGTCCTATGCCCATTATGTCAGACTCACATTCAGGTTAGCCCAAAAGCCATTCCAAATGTTTCTTAGTATCTCATACATGCTTGTGTTGGAGAGAAGACCTCACCAAAATTATACCCACATTCATGGTCTTCCTTTTCTGTAGCATCTAAAGCTTATTTATAGTTTACACATATCTAACATACAAACATAATGTGTTAACATATATGCCCCTCCTTTACCCACATCTCTCCCTACCTTGTACAGTTTCTACACATATATGATGATGGATTATGATTAGAGGCATTCTCATATGTGATCTTCATGATATTCTGACAGGCAGTGTTAAGAACTACTAACCTTGGTAGTCAAAGGAGGAAACCAAGGCACATTATGAAATGACTTTCCTGAGGCCTCATAGCCACAATGTAAGCCCTTCAAGGCTAAATCCAAAGCTAGGGTTTCATGAGGCCCTGCAAAATTACCCCACCTCTATTCCAGCCACAAAGTTTCTCTTCTGACAGTAAAGTTGCAATGACTTTTTCCCCATATGCATGATGTACCTGGGGTCTATCTTTCCATGTGATTATCCAGGCTTTTGTTTCCTGCTTTAGAAGGATTTTCCACAATGGAAAATGCTATCCACATCCAAAGAAAGAACTATGGAGTGTGAATGCAGTTTGAAGCATACTGTTTGCTATTTTTTTTTCTTCTGTGTGTTTTGTTTCCTCTTTCCGGTGGTTACTCCTATTGGTTCTAATTCTTACCTACAACATCACTAATGTGAAAATATGTTTGATAGGAATATATATGTATAGCCTATACCAGATTGTGCACTGTCTTGGGGATGAAGGGGGAGAAAAATTTAAAACTCAAAAGCTAATGGAAGTGATTGTTGATAATTCAAAATAAATTAATTAAAAATAAAAAAAGGATTTTCCACATTCACCATACTGATCAATCTTTCCCATTTAATGAACTAACCTTCAACAAGGGATGAATTGCATCTGAAAGCTTTCCAATATTAATACACTGATATTTGCTTTTGATATGAGAGTTCTTTCCCAGGAAGCTTCCCTCTCATTTCATAAAAGGTAAAAAACAAATTCTCTATCAAAAGATAAGTGATAGTGGATAATGGGCTAATTTTGACTAACAAAATATCATTTTCCATTTTTGAAGTTTGTCAATTATTAGCAGAAAGGAAAGGTGTAACTTTAATAGCCCAGAACCAACAAAGTTTATTGTTCATCTGTTTTGCTAGCCTTTAGTGCTATATTTGTGAATGCTGCTGTAGTCAAATAGATTCTAATTTTGCCTGTGCTGTCTTCACTCTGCATCAAGCCATATGATTCTGCTCATATTTCACTACACTTTTAGGGGTTTTCTCCAGTGAGAATGCTGATGTCGCATGAGATGTGACTTCCTATTAAAGGACTTTCCACATTCCTTACATTTATGAGGTTTCTCTCCAGTATGAACTTTGTTATGTTCAATAAGAGCTGAACTCCGACTGAAAGCCTTCTTACATTCCTTACATTGATAAGGTTTCTCTCCAGTGTGAATTCTCTGGTGTACAGTAAGGGCTGAGCTTTGGCTAAAGGCCTTCCCACATTCCTTACATTCATAAGGTTTCTCTCCAGTGTGAATTCTCTGATGTTGAATGAGGTATGAATTCCAGTGGAAAGCCTTCCCACAGTCCTTACATTGATAAGGTTTCTCTCCAGTATGAATACTTTTGTGTACAATAAGAGCTGAGTTCTGGCTGAAGGCTTTACCACATTCACCACATTTATAAGGTTTTTCTCCAGTGTGAATTCTCTGGTGTTGAATGAGAGGTGACTTCCAGTTGAAGGCCTTCCCACATTCTTTACATTTATAAAGTTTCTCTTCAGAATGAATGCTCTGATGAGCAATGAGAGCTGAACTCTGGCTGAAGGCCTTCCCACATTCCTTACATTGATATGGTTTTTCTCCACTATGAATTCTCTGATGTTGGTTGAGGCCTGACTTCCATTTGAAGGCCTTCCCACATTCCTTACATTGATAGGGCTTCTCTTCAGTGTGAACTCTCTGGTGTGCAATAAGGGCTGAGCTATGGCTAAAGGCTTTTCCACATCCCTTACATTCATAAGGTTTCTCTCCAGTGTGAATTCTCTGGTGTCCAATGAGGTATGACTTCCAGTTGAAAGCCTTTCCACATTCCTTACATTCATAAAGTCTTTCTCCATTATGCGTCCTTTCATGATTGATGAGGTATGAATACTGGGTAAAAAACTTTCCACAGTCCTTACATGTATAAGGTTTCTCTCCAGTGTGAATTCTCTGGTCTTCCGTAAGATGGGAGATTTCCTGGAAGTTCTTCCCACATTCCTTGGACTCCTCAGTTTTCTCTCCAGTGTGAATTCTCTGATGTTGGATCATCCCTGCATTCTGGCTGTAAGTCTTTTCAAACTCCTCACAATCCCAGGATTTCTCTATCCTACACAGACTTGAAGGTGGAATCAAAGCTGGGAGACCCTCACCTTCATTCTCACTGCATGACCTCTTGGGCCTGCAGGTACTCCTGTGGATTTTTTTGCGAATGTCAACACATTCATGGCCTCTGTGCCCAATAGGAGTTTTCCAGTCCAGAATCAATGGCCTCAAATCACTTTGCTGGGAAATGATTTGCTTTGGAATCTCCCCTGCCAGGTTTTGAATTTGCTTCCATACCCTGATCTCTTGGATTGGACCAGCCACAAAGGTTTTGTTCCTGAGAACATCCCCAGGGAGTCTTTCCACTAATGTCTCTTCTGATCCTAAATCTTGCTTTTCAGTTGACTCCTGGTTCTTGAGTTTAGTATCCCAAGCTGAGAAAAAAAAAAAAAAGGAAACAGAAGTTGAATGCAGAGGGCTAGAAAGCTCATCCTAGAGAATGTATAAAGTCCTGTGAAAAGCTTATTATTAGTCAAACTTGTATCAGAATCATGAATCTTTCCATCTCATTCCTCTCCAGGCTGCACTTGGGACTTCCTCTTCAACTCTAGATTTTACACTTTAAAAAATGTAATCCCAGAGAGGGAAGGACATTATTCAACTTCAAAACCTGCATCAGTGCAGAGATGGGATAGCAATCACTGAATGCCAGAGCTGGAAAGCACCAGGCAGTCACATCCTTCTCATGGGACAAATGGAGACAGTGGGGCTCAGAGAACTTGAACTTGCTGAAGTGCGCATGTGCATTCAGGTGTTCCCTCTCCAGAGGGACCATCCTGCCCTATATGAAGAACACACTCTTAAGGACTCCCACAACTTCAGAGTCCAGGATAAAGAGCTGGGGAAATCCCCACTGGGTGTGTGTGAACTCATCAGGCAGGCCTACTCCATCCTGGGCCTCATATCTTGTTGTCCATCTAGAAGCTTGGCATTAGTGCGAAGGGCTCTGGGTAGCATTGGCATGAGGGATCTGGTAAAAGCCCTCCCACTCTGCAGAATTATCGATCAGTGAGGCAAGGGGACTGTGCTAAATGCTTGGTATACAAACACAAGCCAGCAGAGCTGTATGTGTCCTCAGGAAGCTGATGTAAGAGGTGATTTCAGCACATACAGGGGAACATGTCAGAAGGAATGGTAATGGAATCACAGGGCCTTAATTAACATGGTCTGTCTAGTGATGGTAGTGGTGCCTGAATCACTCCTAGCAGAAGGCCTGGGCTACCTGCTGGGATAGTTTTGATAATTATTGGTTTCTCTTTTACTTTTCTTCTGAATAGAGAAGAGGGTTCTTAACCCAGGATCTATGAACTTTCTAAAAGTAACATTTTGGTGGCCTTCCATAGATTGATTTCTTTTGTAATCCCCTATGTATTTACTTTATGCATTTAAGATTATTCCAAGAAGGGGTCCACAAGTCAACAACACTTGGGCTTAAATCTACCTCAGACAATTACTAACTGTGTGCATTTGAGCAAGTTGCTTAATTTGTTTATGGTAAACTCAAGAAATTTTTCTAGCTCCAAATAAATTAATTAAATGTTTTTAAAAAGGAAAGACAAGAAGGGGTCCACAAGATTTGCCAGGCTGCCCAAGGGGTCCATGAAACAAAAGAGGTGAAGAACCCCTGGTCTGGAGGCTTTCCCAAGGCAGAGCAGGCCTTAGCAGGTTACCCTGGAAAGCATCCCTCTATTGAAGGATTAGTTCTAGTGTTTCATTAACTCTGTCCTCCCAGAGTTGAACCCTGCCCTTTCTATCCCTTGATTCTGAGTCCCAAGACTGGGGAAGAAAGGACTGCTTTGCTGAACTGTGGGGAGACAGGTTCCTGCTTTCCAGTCTTTGGGAGTGAGTCTCCCCTACTTGGCCATGTGACCACTGCTGGTCATCTCCACACACCTACCTGCACCCTCCAGCGCTTCAAAGAAGAGCCCAGCTGGGCTGCTGCACCCACTGGCTCCTAGCTGACTCCTGGGATTTTCTGCTTTAGACAAAGATGTGCTTCTGGCAGCATGTACCAGTGAATCCCATGGATGTGGCTCTTCCTCTCCCTCCAACCAGGAGATGAGGCCTGGCTTGGGACCAGGAAGCCCTGCTCATGGGGGAGAAAATGAGATAGCTCTGCATGTGCTGAAGGTGGAAAAAGGTCAGGAAGGAGAGAGGCAAGCTGTGGTGGGAGTAGTGACTGAGATGAGGTCCAGGGGGCTGTGATTCTGTGATCTCGAGAGAGTCACAAAACCAGGTCATCTCCCAGCTCTCCTCAGAAGCACAGAACCCCTCTGGAAATGCCCACAGAAGGGCTCACCAAGCCATCACTTCTCTGGGTCTTAGTTGGCACAAATACAACATGACCTTGGCAGACCCTGAGGAACCTTGGACCCAGGAGACCCAGAAGGCTGGATGGTGTTTCTCATGTGGGTGGAAGGAGAGATACTATGGGATTCCCATCAAAATTTGCCTTAGCTGGGACTTAAGAGACCCCAGTTCAAATCCCCTATCTGTTATTCCCTTGCAGGGTAGCCTTGGATCAATCTCTTCCTCACTTTTGGGCCAGTTTCTTCCCTTTAAAATGAAGAGGTTGCAGTAAATGACCTCCAATGATCTTCCAGAGTCCAATATTTTACAGTATTAATAATTTGTAGAGAAATGTCTTGTGTGCCTTTCCCTGTTACAAGGGGAATAACTCTAACCCATGGATGTCCTTACAGGGGCATCTTGAGTAGAGTCTGCTGATCAAGAAGAGCCCAGTGAAGGTGAAGACAGACCTTCTCTCTAGGACCAAAAGAAAACAGGAGCCTCTGCTTTCAGAAGCCCCTCAGTTGAGCCAATGAAAGAGTCCTACAGGTCTGTGCTTCACAGATGTGAGTCCTGATTCCCCCACGGCAGATCCCTATTCCCAGGGGGAGGTATCCTTACCCAGGGAGACCAGGTTCCTGTAGTTCTCCAGCATCACATCTTTGTAGAGCTCTCTCTGAGCAGCGCTCAAGCATCCCCACTCCTCCCAGGTGAAGTCCAAGGCCACATCCCTGAATGTGACTGCTTCCTGAAACACCAAACACATTCATCCTGGCCCAGAAGCCACATAGGGAAAAGGGAAACTTGAGGAAGGGCAAGAATTGAGAAAAAGTAGATGTAAAAGTGTTCTGGAGACAGGGGAAAGAAATGGTGACCTGGCAGAAGGAGAGGGGACTGCCCAGTACTCGGAGGACAGGAGAGCTGGGACCACAGGAACAGGCATTTATACTTAGAGGTCACCTAGTCCAATCCCCCTAGTGTGCAGATGAGAAAACTGTGGACCCCAGACAGTATCTGGTTTGTCACAGGTCACACAGCAAATAAACAGCAGAGGCAGGATTCTGACACAGCTCCTCAGAGTCCACATTCAGCCTGAGACAGCACAGCTACTGACCTCCTGGTGGACTCTGGGTAAATGACACTCCCTGCCTGGCTTCAGTTCCAGACTAAAGAAAGAGAGTCGGACCTGATGACCTCCAGTTACCTTCCCTCACTGCCAGAGCCAGGAAAGGGCCTCAGAGGTACACTCACAGCCAGAGGTCAAGTCCAACTACTCAGCAGCTAGTTCTCTTCACTGACAGCCACGTGCAAGAGCCTCAGGATGGCAGCCTGGCCATGGCAACTCACCTCTCCCAGGGCCAACAGACCCCTGGTGGATGCTCCATCTTCCTCTGAGCTCCCCACTTGGATACAATCAAGAGACATCAGGCCTGTGGGAAGAGAGAGTAAGGAGGTTGGGGGCTAGATTTTCAGTCTCTGAACTAATTAGGCAAGCTCTCTCCACTCCTCCCGACACACATAGACTCAGGAGATCTTCAGTCTTGTTTCATCCACTGGCTTCTTCCCTGTTGCCACAAACATGCCTCAGTCTCCCTCATCCTTAGAATTGAATTATGAATTGTTTCTACCAACCTCTCATCAGATTGCTCTGTATCTCTCTTCCTTTTTGCAGTCCAATTTGTAGAAGGGGCAATGTGCCCTTTCTTGTCTGCACTTCCTCCCACTTACTTATAGATCCTTGGCAAACCCAGTTTCTGAGCACAATACTCTACCTGAACTCAAGCTCTACCCAGACTACTAACTCCATTTCCTTGGGGGAGAAGGGGAAGAGAATAAGCATTTATTCAGCACCTGCTGTGTGCCAGGGATGGTGCCACATGCTCTACAAATATGATCTCATTTGTTCTTCACAACCACCCTGGGAAGAAGGTGCTCTTCCCTTTTCTTCGTTTATTTAAAGTGAAGACATTTGGTCCATTAAATTAGTAAGATCACAATAGAACATTCCTCCCACCAAACACTCCCTCACAACTCCACACACCAGTGAGAGGAGTGGATGCACATAGGGATTCTGCATGAGGATCATGTACATTGTCCTCCCAGCTCCAGTCTATTGTAGCAGAGTAGCTAGACAAGGATAATCTTCCTGACAAGGGTAGGGCTATATCTGGGAAAATATATGGAGGGGCAATCCATGCCTTTAATGCTAAAGAAACACTCATGTTTTCTGGGGATGTCACAACTCTTTCAGTATGTCTGCTCCCCAGTAGGTGCTGTGGCTCCACCTAGTGTTCTGATTTCCAATGGAATTGTGCCGGCTGCTAGGTGCACAGTCCTTGCTGGGTATTGCACCCTTTGAGCTTCTGTGCTTCATTTCTTCAGGGTTACCTGCTGACCATTTCAACTCCAGCCTAATAGAATATACTGGCTAGAACCTAAAGAGGCTTCTACTCTTTTTCTTTTTTTTTGGCACTTGGGGTTAAGTGACTTGCCCAGGGTAACAGCTGGTGTCTGGGGCCAGATTTGAACTCAGGTCCTCCTGACTTTAGAGCCATGCTTTATTTTATGCCCCACCTAGCTGCCCTGGATAGTGTTCTTTTCACCTCCATATTACAGTTGAGGAAACCAAGGCAAACTCAGGTGAAGTGACTTGCCCAGAGTCACACAGCTAATAGGTATCTGAGTCCAAATTTGAACTCAGGTC